GGATCAAGTTCGAGTTGTGTAGCCAATTTCGAGAAATGTGTAGCCAATCGACTTGCAGCTTTTATGGAATAGCTGCAACTTGATTGGCTACACATTTCTCGAAACTAGAACTTGGACCAAGTTCTAGTTCCACAAAATGTGTAGCCAGTCAACTTGCAGCTATTCCATAAAAGTTGCAAGTTGATTGGCTATACAAGTTCTAGCATTGTGGACGCAGGTCTCAAGAAAGCTTTGCTGCTCTTGCGAATTTGAAACTGGACGCACTGATCCGCGGTATTCGGGCGCGAATGCAGCGTAGAAATCGCGCCGAGGTACGCGAGACGAGTAAGGACCAGTTTCGCAAACGTCGATTAACTACTAACCGAAGGTTAATTGATTCTCTGTCTCTTCTTAAATAATAAGATGGAAAAGGATAGGGAGTCGACTAAACCCTAGTTAACAGTTCACCGATGTTTATGAAACTGTTCCTAAATCTGCGAAACGACTCTCTCCTCGCCGAACCGCTTCTGCAGTTCTGCGTGGAAAATCCCTTTGTTTCCACGCACGCATTAAACTCGGCTGAATCTTTCAGTCGACTTTGGCACGTATTCGACCGGTGGAAGATCGGCTCGGTTAGCTGATCTTCTTGAGAAACAGAACGCGCGCATGGAAACGGGGGTTGTTATCTCTCGATCGCGATATTCGCGCGCAACGGCTCTTCGCTCGTCAATTGTTCGGCGATAGCGGAACGCTTCGAGACGCTCGGAAGAACCGTTTCGCGTCCACACGCGTCACCGATCGCCCCAAACAGAGGAAAGGGACACGTAAAGCGGCGCGTTGTTTACCTTGTTGCGGAGGCGCGGCTCGTTCGGGCTCGAGGAAACTCGCAGAATTCCTTCGTCGAGTCACACTGCGTTCACCGGGTTTCGCCGCGAGCGAAACGACGCGGTTCCGCGGAAACCGGGGGTCCGGCACCGGTAGCGTGGCGGATCCGGGCGGGCCGATCGCGGGCGCGAGAAACTGGACGCGAGCGACGACGGAGAGACGAGACCGAGGCGAGAGGCGAGATCGAGACTGCTGCCGCGAAAGAGACGGCCGGACCGCGGCTACGCTCCGCGGCGCGGCGCGGCGCGGCGCGCGCGTGCGGTACGACGTGAAGGGAGTCGAAGGCGGAGTCGCGCGGCGTTTCGCGCTGACGCTTTCAGACCGCCCTTCCCGGCGCGCACCGGCCGTGCCCGCCCGCGGCGATTCGCGTCGCGACGCGACGCGACGCGGCGGTGCCGGGCCTTTCCGATTCCTGGGGTCAGTTCTGTCTTATCTTACAGCTACGGCGAAAATGCTGAAAGTGAGCGGCTTTGTCCCCTTCTGAGCCCGTGTCAGACTACGGATTGAGGATTGAGATTAGATTGAAATTTGACCAATTAGAATAAACGTTACTAAGCTTGGGATTAGTAAACTTTACTGTGATTGGTCAAATTTCAATCTCATCCCAATCTCAATCCGTAGTCTTAAGCCCGTATCAGACTACGGATTGGGATTGGGATTAGATTGAAATTTAGCTAATCACAGTAAAGTTTACTAATCGCAAGTTCAGTAACTTTTATTCTGATTGGTCAAATTTCAATCTAATCTCAATCTCAATCCGTAGCCTGATACGGGCTTAAGGGGACGGGCATTCACTTTTGGCATTTTCGCCATAGGCCTGGTTTACATCGACTGTGTTTGATACGCGTGTCAAATAGTAAACAACTAGTAAATTGATTTAGTCATTGGTTGATCGGCGAAAACACACTATTTGATACGCGTATCAAGTGATCGGTGTAAACTAGGCTACGGTGTAAGATGCAATCCCAGATAGCACACATAGTTCTATGGATATTCTTCTGGAGTGCAAAAATTCTTAATTTCAGAATATTCTATAAAAATATATAGACTATTACAATTAGAAATCGTATATTTTTAACAAAGAAGAACGTTTTTAGAATACTCGTCGAGAATGTCTTTGAAATATTCGTTCCGAATAAGTTTTTAGTGTTCATCGAGTTTATGTATTGCACATTGTTGATTGTGTAATACAATAGTCCAGTCGAATATTCCACGAACGTAAGATAAATATATAAGAATGACCTATGGAATATTCCAAATATTCTTGAAGAATATTCCAAATATTCTTGAAGAATATTCTTAAAACGTTCATAGGAGTGTCTTGTGCTATCTGGGAATGTGCTTTTGCGTCTAGAGATATTCTACAATATTTTGCAGCCGATAAATACGTTTACAAAATTTGTGCGAGTTGATTAATTGTACATTACACAATATATTCCTTCTCACAATTAATTGACTTAAACAGAGAGACGAACATTGCTTGTGTGAAAAAATTTAGAATCCATAAAAGAGACAAAAGAAAAGTTAAGAATTAAATTCGTAAAGCGCGTGCTCTGCCTTTCTTCTTCTGTTCTCCCTTAGATTAAGGGCTCCAAAATCTTTTCTCCGAGGAATATTTTACTCGATGGCTATTCCGAAACCATTTTGAGCATTTCCGATTTATTTCCCCGAGTTTCTAAACTCGTTTTTGAAAAAGTGTCGTAACCAGTCTGTTCATCACTGTACAGGGACAGAAGAAGAAAGGCAGAGCAGTATGCAAAACGCTTTACAAATTTAAGTCTTAAATTTTCTTTGTCGCCTATATAGATACTTAATTTTATCTGTCCATCACTGTACACATATTCTGAATCCTCTCTTATCGATAAAAGTGCTACTAAAATTGTCTTGGATTTGAAGGATTTTTATTGGCCGAAAAGATCTTTTGCAGACACTTTTATCGACAAAAGAGGACTCGAAATGTAGTTTCGAAAAGCCTAAATTCCCGACATTCTTTCATTTTGTTATCTTAAAGTGAAACTCAATACGGCCTCGCGATTAAAATAACCATCGCTCGTCACGATTGGTCTCGCACTAATTGCGACCGGAAATGCATTCCATAACGAGCACGCCTACATAAACTACAAACTTTTGAATCGATTCCATGATTTCCGACGTCAGAGAAATCATTCTTTGCCTTCGGCCATTATCCGCAGCAACTCGATTATACATTTACAAATGTGTGCCAACTGATTTCGGGCGCTCGTTCGGTCCGCGAAAAAATTGTGACAGATCGAATGTCGGCCGCGAATTAAGTATTATGTAATTGCGCTTACGTCGCGTTTCGTAAGTCAGCGTTAAGCAACCGTTGTTTTGCTCGCTTACCGGTGAAGATCGGTGTCAGGAATTAAGGTCAAGAGAACGAGACCACGTCGTCGAAATCGCTGACCGTCGCTAATCGGTGAAGATATGACGAATCGCGTATTCGTAGTTAAATACCGCGAAGATACGATCATTCGATAATATTACGCCAAATTAATTGGATAATATTACACTACTGATAATATCTATATTATATGAAATTTCTACGCAAAACATTTTTTTCACTCTATTTTTTCATTAATAAAACTGGCCGAATTGATACGTTCTATTCGAACGACGCATTTGCTCTCGCGTACGAAAGGGAAACTTAAGATTATTATGGAAGGACCTGTGGAAGAGTAAAAGAACGAAATAATAAACTTGTACATATTACGTACATTTAAATACAGCGAGAAATGTCTCGTCGATCGTTGTCGAAACGATGTCGATTCGAGAGATTCGGTTGGACATCATTTCGACGGATCATTTCTCACTGGGCAGAGACCAAGTAAAAAATAAATAAAGAATATATTTTATTCTATAACGAATTTTATACAAATTTAATGCAGCGAGAAATGTCTCGTCGATCGATGTCGAAACGACATCGACACCGTCAAATTGATGTCGAATCGATGTCAATTTGACAATATCGATTCGACGAATCTTTTCTCACTGGGCATAGGCCAAGTAAAAAATAAATGAAGAGTACATTTTATTCTATAACAAATTTTAGTCTCAGCCGATTGAGAGCGAAGCAATTTTCACAAATTGCGATTAAACGATGCGACAAAACAAGTAATAAACCCTCAACCTTTCATCGACGCTTAATATCAAAATTTCAAAAGATGGAAAATAGAAAGAAAGGAAGACGGTAGGAAAGAAGAGAGAGAAGAGAATCGAGAAACGAGAGGAAAAGATCATTGCAATTTTTAACGAGATATATTTATCAATCTCTTTTCTTCACGTCACGTCATAAAATGTCTCCGTCGGGCAATTTCTGCCTTCGCCGATTTTTGCGGCACATTCGGAAAGGACGAGCGTCAAAGAGCCGCATCTCTGAGGGAATGACGCTATCGATAAACGAAGCAGCGGCCGCCGCCGCCGCCGCCGCTGCCGCCGCCGCAAAATGTCGCATAAAACGCGACGCAGCACGGAGGGTGAGGGAGAAAGAGCGGCGGCCGCGCGACGCCATGTTGGGGCGGCATCGTGCGAGGCCGCTCGCCGCGCGCGATTGGTCGAAGGCTCCGTTTCGAAACATCAATTCGGCAAGCGCACTCGCGCACGGCCCCCGACTCCTCGCGAGGCTACGCATTCGATCCGCGAATCGCGGACCCGACCGAGCGACGCGCGAGAAAGGTACGGGCGAATCCGCCGTTTAATGGCGAGCCCTCGCGCGATTCCGTTTTTCCGTGCCTTTCATGCGGCACGCGGCCCCTCGATTCGATCGAACGAGTCGATCGTTGATTCTGGACTGGCCGAGAAGCCGCGAGACTTCCGGCGAGTGTCATAATCTCGAGCATGAATCTTTTCCTCTAGCGTCAATTCGTGAAAAGTGAAAAATTTTACACACATTGACGAATATTAAATTCTTCAATGAAATTTTTTACTCTCCACGAGAGCTCACGCTAGAGGAAAAGACTCATGATCGAGCCTCTGATACGTGCGACCTCGAATCCGTAACTCGGGGGAAATTTGAAGATTAAAAACATCGTTTTCAGATCTGCGCTTTCTAGCTGCGTTGTTGCATTTTGCATTTAAAGTAACGTATTATAGGTGTATAATTAGACGTTGAAGAGAAACGAAAGAGAAGGGAAGATAAAACGAGTACGAAAGTTCAGCCACGATGAATGAACGTACTCGTGGACGTTTGTCCGAAAATAGCACTCGGCTTCTTTTAATCTTCATAAGCCGATATTCACAATCAGATCTTATATTCAAGACCGCCTTGAATTTATCTAAAGATGCCGTATAGAACATTTCATTGGCTATGGAGTATCTAATGCGGCGTCTACAATGAGACTTTAAGACGTAAGATTCGAGAAATTAATCAATCATAGTCGAATGTGAGGAGAATACTCGATTGTAATAGGCCAATTTCCTAAATCTTACGTCTTGAAATCTCATTGTTGACACCGCGTAAAAATGATTTTAAGACGGTCTTGAATATAAGATCTGACAATGAATAGACTGTTAATTGCAACTGATTTTCAAGCCAAATTGACCCACGTGTAACCCCTGGTCCATAATCTTGTTAAGTAAGCTGCAAGCCTTAAGCCGCAAGTAATTAACCAATCACAGGTGAGAGCGAGGGGAATGAATGCCTGTGATTGGTTAATTTCTTACAGCCTAAGGCTTACGGCTTACTTAAAGCAAGGTTGTAGACCAACACTAATGCAGCTGAAATATTTACCGTTTGAAAGAATCCAGATTTTGGAAGTAAACTCTATTACAGAAACAAAGTCTGCGACAGATCCAAATGAATGAGCTGTAAAGGTTCCCAGCGAAAAATGACTCGTCAATCGACGTCGAAACGATATCGACACCGTCAAATTGAGTGCCAAACTGATGTCGAATCGACGACGAATTCGACAGAGCCGACGTCGATTCCACGTCGTTTCGACTAATCATTTCTCACTGGGTTGAGAAAGTCTAGTCCATACAGCACGCAAATGTTGAATCAACATCTCAGAAACGTTCCATTACAACAATGCAATATTGCGTCAATGTTACGAAATGTAGATTCAACGTTGAAAAGATACTGCCAAGACGTCTAATGTCCGCTAAACTGTAATGTCTTGAAAACGTTACAAATCAACGTTCAGAAAACATTGTTAAATTATATTGAGTTAACATTATTTCATATCAAATTAACATTGCCATGCAACGTTTCAGCAACATTACTTTAACTTTCTGCGTCGTACGGGACGTCGTTTCGACCAATCAATTTCTCACTGGGCTGAGAAAGTCTAGGAAGATTAAGAAACGAGACGAAGAAAGGATCGAGTTTCGCGCGCGTCGTCTCGTCTTATGAATCACTCCGCGATCCAGCCTCGCTCCGGGGTTTATCAGGCCCGGGGGGCAGGGGGGTAGGGGGAGGAAAATCCACGGGAAATCGCGGATCGCGCGAGTTTGGCGACAGGAAGGGAAACAAATGGGAACAACGGTGGTCGGGCGCGCGGCCGCGGATATTTTTCAGCTGGCTCACGGCCGGCTGCGCGATTTGTTGACCGAATGCTGGGACTTACGGACGCCGATGTTGCTGATATATCGGGGTATTGTTAACCCGTTACAATGACCATGTTTAGCAACACACCGACCGGCCGGTCGGTGCTCGATTGTTCGTGCCCACCCCGTCCCCCCTGCCCTCCCGCCATTGCGGTCACTATTGCGCTATTGTCGACAAGTTGGTCCGCCGAGAACGGCGCTCGACTCTTTAAACTATCCATTACGCCTCATTACGGGCATTTTCCCCGGTTTCATCTCTGTAATATATATACTTAGGGATGGACAGGAGGGTTGCGACGCTTTTTTTTGTAATGAGTTTAGGAACTCGTGAAATGGATCGGAAACACTCAAAATGGTTTCGGAAATGGTCGAGTAAAATATTCCTCTGAGAAGACTCAAAATTTGTTTGCGTCGATCTCTCAGTGCTCACGAGCGAGTGGTTTATCAAAAGGCAATAAATCGCAGCGACCATAGGAGCCTTTTATTCTACGATCCGCTTGTTATTTGAAGAACGGCCGGAGAAACGGGAGAAGGGAGTCCCTGTTTTGATTAGGTAATGTCAAAGCAAACTGACCCTCTCGACCCAAACTGGTCTCCCTCTCTCTCTCTCTCTCTCTTTCTCTCCACCTCGGTCCCGTATTCGGGCTCATCCCCCGGCTCGATTTTACTGCCGTTTTATAGTCGTTTGTCGCGGCGAGGCGAGACAGGAGCGATTACCACGCGGTCACGTTCCGTGCGCGACGTTATAGCGGGACGTGTAGCCATGGGCTGCACGGAGGCTCCTCGTCTCGCGTACGGAACGGCATCACGATACGGCGGTAATTCCACGACATTAAATGCATTCGCATAATAGAACGGCGGAAGAAGGAAAAAGACGAACCGGAGGAGCGACAAGGGATTAGGGAAGTCGGAGAAATTCGGAGGAAGAAAAATACCTCCCAAATTTTTTGGCGGTCATCCTTCACTCGCGCGTACCGTCGAGGGATCGTAACGTCTCGGACCTGCGGCGGCTGCGGCGCTCTTTGACAATGATCCCTTAATCTCATTGCACCTTCGCACCAGTTGCAGCACGCGAGGCCAAGAAAAGTGCGCCCTGTAGTAACAAAAATATTTCTTTTGCAGCACATAAAATTAATACAAATAGTTGTAATCGGTTAGTGACTCGCCGATCGATGTCGAAACGATGTTGAATCATTTCTCACTGGGACGTTCTAGTTCCGAGAAATGTGTAGTCAATCACCCTGCAGCTATTCTACAAAAGCTGCAGGGTGATTGACTACAATTTCTTGAAACTAGAGCTGGTATTCACAGTCGAATCTTATATTTAAGATCATTGGGCCAAGTTCTTTCATCGTGGACACAGGCCTTCACGAAACTTTTACATGAGGCAAGTGCCTCGTTCGCCACATCCTATCTATAGTAAATCCTAAAGGAATTCTGACTCGTCCATTTTCTAACAGACGACTGGTTGAATCTATCAGATTGTTTTTTCAGCGCACTAGTGCAACCGATCGAACTCGCTATATGATTTTTAACAGTCTTCTTACGTAAAAATGGCACCCGGGTGCCCACAAACGTCTCAATACGACGATCTTCGTCCATTTATTTACTCGCTCGAACAAGCCACGTGTAGAATCATGATCCCTAGGTGTAGAACGGGCGAAACGGGCGCGGAACGCAAGCGGGGTACATTGTCGCTTCGACGCGCGGCGGGGGACGGGGACCTCGTAAATTATTCGGGGCTAGACCGCGTCGCTCCCGTCCGGGGCGACGCGACGGCTTCATATTTTAGCGTTGCCACGAGGCGTAAATGTTTACGCTCAAGGCGACCCGCCGTCGCACAATATCGCGTTATCCTTTACCGGCGTCGCTTGCACGCGCACGGGCCCTTCTCGCCGCGTCGTCCGCCGCTCGTAAAATTCCTCCCCCCATCCCTCCCGTCCCTTCCCGCCCGCGTCGAGCGATAGATTGGGCCAAACGAGTAACGTAAGGCTCTCCCTTGACGAATAAGTCAATCGGGAGAGGACCGCTGTCGAACGGGAGCACGTTCGTCGATTCGATCCGAGGCCGAGAGCTTGCGGAGCTCGTTTCTGCCGGATCGCCGAGTCCGTCTGAAATAATGAATGAATAATGAGACGGATGTGTAATATACAAGAGCCAACTACAACGAGTTTGTTAGTTATTAGGCCTCTTTCTTCCTGAGCGAAAGAAAGAATTGACCAACGTGTATACGCACAGTCCCCACTTCTGACCAACAACTTGAGTGGTTCCCATAGAAGAGGCTGCGAGTCTTTACCTGAAGCGACGCGATTCGTTAAAACCTTTTGTGAGTCTTTCGAGTCTAATAGCGAATTCGGCTGCTTGCACTAGCGCGCACTGAGCGCACACCAAGCTCAGAATCTACTCTTGTATTTGTGAGCATCTCAAATATATGTCCAGAAACTATTTAGCCAAAAAATTCGTGCAAATGCTATGCAGATCATTTTACTGGCTAAGAAGTATTTCAAACGGTATTCAAGACCCAGCGAGAAATAACTCGTCGATCGATGTCGAAACGATGCCCGATCAACATCGACACCGATGTCTAATCAACAATACGGCCAGAAACAAACGCAAATAACAGGGAATGTACTTGAATTAAGAATCCCGGATGGATTTAGGCGAACGGAGCCCAAGAACACATGTGCGTATTGAAATTTGACCGCTTAGAGTAAAAGTTACTGAACTTGAGATTGGTAAACTTTACTGTCATTAGTAAAATTTCTATCTAATCCCAATCTCAATCCGTAGTCTGATACTTTACTAAACTTGAGATTAGTAAACTTTACTGTGATTAGTAAAATTTCTAATCCCAATCTCAATCCGTAGTCTGATACGGACTTTACTAAACTTGAGATTAGTAAACTTCACTGTGATTAGTAAAATTTCTATCTAATCTCAATCTCAATCCGTAGTCTGATACGGACGTTAGAACGAGGAAAATGGAAGGAGAGCTTCGAAGCGTTTGCAGCGGCCATAGTCAGATCTCGTCTCCATAGTCGATGAAATGTTCCATCCCAGTCAGACACGACTCGTCGATCGACGTCGAAACCGTCATATTGACGTCGATTCGACGTCGATCGACGAGTCAATTCTGACTGGAATGCAGCATCTTCACCCAGCGAGAGAAATGACTTGTCGATCGATGCCGAAACAATGTCGAATCGACATCGACGTCGTTTCGACGGATCATCCCTCACTGAGTAGACAAACTCAAGACATTCTTGAGTACAAGATCTGACTATGAATACCGGCCTGATTCTTTCCAGTAAGCTAATCGGTAGCCCGTTGAAGTCGCCCGTTCAATCTACGTACCTTATTTTTCTCGACAATTCGAAAGATACGTAGGCGAGCAACGACCGATTGACCGTCTCGCGACATCTGGTCGCGCGGATTCCAAGCGTTCCGAGCGCAATCGTCATTTGGGCGACATCTCTCGGCAGTCGCGAGTACTACCTTCAAAAACCACCTAGCGCCATCTAGTCGAGCCAAGCGCGCGGCAGACGCGCGACATCTCTCGGCCGTCCGCGGGTACTTGGCTCACACGTGCACGCTTCCTAACCTTTCAACTCAGCCCACGGGAATTCAAAGGCTCCGTTGAAGACGGAAATTAGCGTTGTTGATACCAGCGTTTAAATGAAACGCGTGTTAGCAGCATGTTAACTACGAAGGTTTTTTTCCGAAAGACCAAGGGAGGGAATATATTTAAGGTACGCAAAGGGCGTTGGCTTATCTCGAGAGTATTTTCAGAAATTTTCAACGTAAGGTCGAGACTCTCGCGCACCTTGATCGCTTTATCGAAAACTGTTAACTGAGAGTGTAATTTGAGCTAAAACTTTCCACTCTTGTCAGACCGTCAGAGAGCACTACCTCAGAGATGACATTTGCTGTGGCCTCAAAACGTGCACGAGGTGCAAGGCGAGGCCGCGGGACATGGTGTTGGACGATGAAGGCGCTGGTGCGACGTCCTCCTTAATTCCAGGCCCATATTTTCTTGTGCTTGACACAAATATCATTCTGGATCAAGTAAGCGTTGTACCAAATGCACTGTGGTGTTAATGCGCGCGTGTATTTGCCCGTTGAATCGTCTAAGGTTCAATTTCTAATTGCAGATAGACATACTGGAGGAAGACGTTATTACCAACGTGATCGTCCTGCAAACAGTGCTGGAAGAAATTCGGCACAAAAGTGCTATTGTATACAAAAAGCTGAAGACCATCATAGGAAACGCGACGAGAAAGTTTTTCGTGTTCATCAATGAACATCATCGGTACACATTAATTATTGCGAGGAGGAAGATTATACATTTGACATATTACGCCCTGTCCTTGTTTCATTTCTTTCAATGTGCCTTTTGCAATATATGCTTCGTACAATTATTTTACAACGTTATTCTTCTAGGGAAACTTATATCGAGAGAGAACCGGGTGAGAGGACAAACGATCGTAATGACAGAGCGATACGAGTTGCAGTTAAATGGTACAGCACCCACTTGAACTCGGATGAGGACAGTGTGAAAATTGTCTTGCTGACAGACGATGTAGAAAATAGAAGACGTGCCACTGAAGAGGGACTATTTGTTGTATCGAGTAAGATACATTTCATTTTACTCTATTTATACCATTTTGGTATGAATACGAGGTACAGCATAATATATATCGTCTTTGCAGTGGAAGATTATATTGCATCATTGGAAAATTCAAGTTTTCTGCTGGATAAACTGTGCAAACGTTCCTACGGTTCGGATATTCAAGGCCCGGACTTGTTTCCCTGTCATCTAACGCCAGTGGAAGTGCACGACGGCATATCGTCGGGAAAACTGTTGCAAGGAACGTTTTTGGCATCGAGGGAAAATTTCCTCGAGGGGAATGTGAACGTTGAAGGAAGAGAGAAACCTGTACGATACATGATTGTTAATACATAATCGTGAATATTTAAATGTAGCTTTATAATGTCTATGTTAAGGAGAAAATTGTTGAACGTCTATTTAAAAAATGATTGGGAACAGTTTATTTAAATCAAGTCGCTTGATGCATAATTTTCTTAAATTTCTGTAAAGTTTTCGTAAGTTTTAATTGACATAAAAGAATATGCAATGCAAGTGTAACTTAAAAAATGATATTTCTGTCACAGTGAAGTTTCGAAAACAAACTCATCTGTCGAAGATTATGAATTACTGAATTTTCTTTTAAATTCGACACTATATTCGATACGCAATAATCTTTTAGAAATATCAGTACATTTAATGTCTCATTTTTATTGCCTTAGATATTTGTGCAAGGACGATCTCATCTCAACAGGGCAGTCGATGGTGATATAGTTGCGATTGAAATCCTACCAGACGATCAGTGGTCATCACCCAGTGAAATCGTTTTGCAGGACGAACAAGGCGCGGACGCTGACGAGGTTACAGAAGATGAGAAAATACTCCGCAAACAGAAGCCGAAAGCGCAAGAGCTGATACCGACGGGCAAAATTGTCGGCATTATCAGGAGAAAATGGAGACAGTATTGTGGAATATTACAACCGAGTGCAATTAAAGGGGTAGAAATCTTTATCCAAAAAATCTTTTTATATCTATTCCATTATGTATGTATATACATTTTTTTATCTCTTGTCATTATCGGTGTGCATAGAATGTAAGGCACTTGTTTGTTCCGGCCGAGAGAAAGATTCCGAAAATAAGGATTGAAACTAGACAAGCCGAGATACTGAGTAAGCAGCGAATTATCGTCGCACTGGATTCGTGGCCACGAAACTCGAGATACCCGCTTGGCCACTTTGTACGAGCACTTGGTAACATAGGAGACAAAGAGACAGAGAATGAAGTATTACTCTTGGAACACGACGTCCCACACAGCCGTTTCTCTGACGCTGTTCTTAGCTTTCTTCCCAAGCTGCCGTGGGTCATTACGGAAGTGGTATGTATACGTATTTGGTCTAAAATTCGTATTGACGCTGATTATCTCAAACTATTGATTATATACAGATTAACTGTTGCGATAAATGATCAGCTGGACAATATAGCTGTGCAAAATTGTACAGAACTTGTAAAAAATATGTGTAACTTTGCATACGTAATATGTGTACAAATTTTTACAGGATATTGCGCAGAGAGAAGATCTTCGACATCTAGATATCTGTTCCGTGGACCCGCCAGGCTGTACTGACATTGACGACGCGTTACATTGCAGAAGTTTAGAAAACGACAATTTCGAAGTCGGTGTGCATATTGCAGATGTATCCCACTTCATAAGGCCTGGGACTGCACTGGACAAAGAAGCGGCATTACGTGCTACCACCGTATATCTTGTCGATAAACGAATCGACATGGTTCCAGGTAAGACAAGCCACTTATTTCAAGTAGAATTGCAGGCAGGCGCAACGTAAATTGTACAACCTGAAATGTTTCTTTATTTCAGAATTGCTCAGTTCGAATCTTTGTTCTTTACGGGGTAAGGAAGAACGATTTGCGTTCTCCTGTATATGGGAGATTGACCACGACGCAAACATAATCAATACGAGATTCTGCAAATCCCTAATTTGCTCGCGTCAAGCGATGACATACGAGGAAGCTCAATTGAAAATTGACGATGCCACTCAGCAGGACGCTATCGCGTTATCATTGAGAGGATTAAATCAATTGGCAAAGAAATTAAAACAGAAACGTTTAGAGAATGGGTACGATTATCCAATTATTTTAAGTTATATTCGATTCACTTCTCGTGACAAATTACATTTTTAACGTTAAATAATTTATTTGCAGTGCTTTAACTTTAGCGTCACCGGAAATACGTTTCCAAGTAGACAGCGAAACGCACGATCCCATTGACGTGGAAGCAAAAAAGATGAGAGAGACCAATTCGATGGTAGAGGAGTTTATGCTGCTTGCAAACATCAGCGTTGCTGAAAAAATAGTGGCAGAATTTCCAGAATGCGCTATGTTAAGAAGACATCCCGAACCACCGCAGAGTAATTTTGAACCGTTGATTAAAGCTGCTAAAAATCAGGTATTGCCATTCACCTTTGGACTTTCTAATTAATAATTCCATGCTTTGTTAGGCACAAAGATATTCAATATTTAAATTTAAAAATTGTAAGAAACAATTTTCATTTTTTTAATTTAAAGAAATTCGATCTATTGTCAATGTTATCACTTACTCTAATTTTTATTCAATAGCGATGAAGCTGCAATATATTTATTACATAAAATTGATTTTACAGGGTTTCACTATTAATACAAATACTGGTAAGGAATTAGCCCTATCATTGGAAGAAACTAAAAAGGAATCGAATCCTTACTTCAACACAATGTTAAAAATATTAGCTACGCGATGTATGTTGCAAGCGGTATATTTTATTAGTGGAATGCAGCAAGTGGAAGAATTCAAGCATTACGGATTAGCGTGTCCGATTTACACGCATTTCACATCTCCTATTCGAAGGTAAGCCCTTTGAAAGCCATTAGGAAATATAATTATCAAATTAATTTGAAGTATTAAATGAATTGACGATTTCTTAATATATTTTGCAGGTACGCAGATATAATTGTACACCGACTGTTAGCTGTATGTATAGGTGCCGATGCGACTTATCCAGAGCTATTGGACAAGAAGAAGAATCACTTGTTGTGCCATAATTTGAATTATCGGAATCGAATGGCGCAATACGCCGGCCGTGCATCAGTCGCACTTCACACGCACGTTAGTCCGATTTAGCATGAAGATTTTCTTCTTTCTGACAATGTTGCTACTCAATATTATTTATAGAAAGTTCTAACAATTGTTTTATGCGTTTTAGATATTCTTCCGCGATAGAATTCAGGATGAGGAAGGATACATTCTTTTTGTACGAAAAAATGCCCTGCAAGTGCTGATACCGAAATACGGTTTGGAAGGCACTTTATATCTTAATTCTGCTTCGTCGTCTGTCACGTTCACGTACAATTCAGAGGATCAGTCCCAAACCTGCGGGGACGTCGTATTTCGGGCATTTGATCCTATTGTTGTACAAATGAGTTTGGACAGATCTAATGTTCAACATGAGAAGTTGTTCTTTAAACTCGTAAAACCAGAGGTAAGAAAAAAAGAGGCCTGAAAGAATAAGACAACAAAACATTTATACATGTTTAACGCTGCATTAATTTGTTTGATTATAGATCCCAGATTTCAGCGTTTCCCCATTAAACATCAAAACTATTAGAGTCGAAGAAGAAAATTCCACTGTGAAAGAAATGTTGAAACGGAAACCAGAAAATCAACAAGAATCAACCAACGTTCAGAACAAGAAGGTCGAAAAGAAAAAGAAGAAAAAGAAGAATTGAGATACAAAATTTTTTAACGTAATGTGTGAATTATATGTATAATAATATACACATTGGTTTTTATAAAAATTGTATTCTTTCACTACTGTTTTACATTATTTATAACTTACAGTCTTTACACCAATACACACTTGTTAATGAATTCTTCTTAAACAATATTTAGAAATTTATGTACATATACAGTTGTACAGAAAAAAGAATGTCTGATAATTTCTTTCATTGAATTACTAATTCATATTCACTGTTTTCTCATTGGAAACTCCTTATTAAATACTTAAAAATTTTCGTTGCGTAAAAGTTATGATAAATTTAATAAGCGATTGGTTTAATGTCATGAGATATAAAGGTTTGAATATTTTAAAACAAAAAATGATTAAAATTAAAAGAATTAAAAGATGGAAAAGATACGTTTATCTGGTTTAATCGATAAATAATAATTTAGATAATAAATTACGCTTTTGACAATAAAAAACGTTAAAAATAATGAGGATGAAATTAAAGTACAATCATTGAGTATAGTAATATGGATTCAGTTGTATGAAACATACTGAAATGTGATGCATTAATCATATAAATACTGTAAAAACTTATCGTGGATAGTATGTGTGTGTGTGTGTGACCAAATCTCGAATCTATAATATACAGGGTGAATCATTAAGGTTGTCCCAACCTTTTATCATGAGGGATGGATTACCGACTGCAACTGTAGCCAACTCTGGAAAGCATGGAAAATCTCGTCATATGTTTCAATCGTGTAATATCTAATAATTATATCTCTTAAAATACAAATAGGTTTTACATGATTGAAATGTATATAACGAGTTTTTTTACAGTTTCGGTCGATAATCCATCCCTCGTGGTAAAAGGCTGGGACAGCCTTAATAATTCACCCTGTATAACAAATTAATTTAATGAGGGCAGTCTCGAGTTTGCTGAAAACTCATCACTATGCAGTATAAAAAAATAAATTTAGAAACGCTTATACTTGACTAGTACGATAATAAATAATGAAAAGATTATTTAGTACCGATACAAATTAACGAATTGTTTTTTTTATAATAATTCAATGAAAGAATGCTTGAGCAACATGTCGAATAAACTTGTGGTGCCTCTATCAGTGATATAACACTTGATGATTCTCTGAAAAGAACAAAAGACAATATGCAATCCAAACAAATCTAAGTTTGAGCAAGAGAAGATTTAAGTATACATACCCATTTAATGTTTTAATGAAATCTTGAGTAGGCCATAATCGTACAATTCCATCTAGGCTCGCACTGGAGATGTACTGGCCATCGAAGCTCCAGTCTACATTCATGACTGTATCGTTATGGCCTTTCAGTTCAGTCAATAAATTATTAGTTGTTAAATCCCATATGCGTATAGACTTGTCGTCGCCTGAATAATATAGTTTCCGATGAAGAACAATTTATTAAATTTAATTGCAAGATTATCGACCGATCTCTTTCACAAGGTCGTATTTAAACGCTAATTTAGGTCCTTAAGAAGTGTGTAAGCAGAAAAACCAAAAATTACGTAAAATCAAGATACGGCCTTGCGAAAGAGATCAGTCGTTATGCCTTATATTTTTTCATTATAAATACCTGCAGCAGCCAGATATTTGCCATCTGGACTAAAAGCTACAGTGTAAATGGTCGATTCCGCTCCAACGTATACTCGCTGTAGGCTCGCATCATCTTTCGACCATAATCTTACCGTTTTGTCAGCAGAACCAGTCGCTAAGTATCTTGCATTTGGATGAAATTTTATGCACTGAAACAGGAAATATGTAAATTGTTTTCAATCTTGTCGGTATATTCTAAAATAAGTTTAGATTGTAATAATGATGAAAAAAAACATACATTGACATCTAAGAAGTGACCAGCGAATATTCTTAAGGGATATGTTCTATCCAATGTCCACAATTTTGCAGTTCTGTCATGTGAGCCGGTGGCAATGTATAAATTGAACACACTGGTATCCATGCACCATACAGGGTAACTATGACCACTACAATGAGAAGAAAAACACTCTGTTCGAAATAACATTTATAACATGTATTATTTTGCACAACCTGTTTCTTTTTATTTAATCCTGTTTTAGAAAAAAAATATATCTACAGACAAAATCATTGAAATTAACAGAATCTTGTCGATTTCGAGATTTCTTTTGAAACTTTAAGTTTATCCTTGTGACTTGAAGTTAAAGATTTACTACACGGAATGGGATATTACGAATACTTCGATACTTAATTCTTCATAAAATGTTTAAGCTGCAAGAAAAAAAAATTGTAAAGAAACAGGATTTTTTTACCTATATATTGCTGTACATGAATAGTTATCAAGTCTCCATGCTCTCATATCCTTATCGCTTGATACGGAAAGAAGAATATTTACATCTGGGATAAATCTTAAATCGTGCACTACGTCCGTATGCCCTCTCAATATTATCGCTCCTGCTTCGCTTCTTCTGTACAATTAGGTTTGCCTCATAAGATATTGTACTTAAGTAAATATACAATAATATATAATCTGCAACTCACACTGTGCTCTCTTGCTCATTGAACTTATAAAATGGTGATATATCACAGCCGGCCGGAACACATGGTCGTTTATTTTTCGTTTTGACCAGGACCGTATCGCCTATGCCCCACAAACGTATCTCAGCCGTACTAAAACCTACAGCTAATTTATCCATCCTAGGTGAGATAAGACCGCAACTTGCACTGCAACCATATACGAAGATACATAAAATATAAGTAATGTCAAGAATAATAGAATGGATTATGTTACTTACTTTTCTATAGCATTCCTCACTGTAAATAACCTTAATGGTTGATGAGCATTATTGTGTATTAATCGTATAGCTTCCTGCAATTCTCTCATTTCACGATCCACACCGGTACCAGACGGTTGTTCCATATGGCCATTAATACTTACTTCATATCTTTGATTTCTGTCTTCAGGTACTTCAACATCCATTTGCGGGCTGTTTTCCTTTATGATTATTGTGATATGTGTATTTATAATCTAAAATTGAAAGAAATTAAAGTTTGCGGAGAATATTAATTTTACTCTAAACAAAACTGAAAGAGTAAGCTCTTTGAAGATTATGTTTTTTAATCCATATACGATTGATGTGAAAACAGTTAGTCTTCAACAGAAGACTAACTTTAGATGGTTTATAAAATATGTAATTAAAAGTAATTAACATTATATATCACCTGCATTAATATTATATGCCCGTATTTGGCGAGATATTGTCTCAGGCAGATATGAGATGACTCAGACAGATCTACTTTATACTTTCTAGTCCTGAACGCTTTTACCAAAGGTCTCAGCTCAATGTCTTGAACCGAAAATACACTGGATAATTCTTCTAAAAAGTCTTTCTCCGTTTCGCTAACAAACTCGTTTTGATGAGTCTTTAGAAAATCGGTAGCCGCCTCTCGATTACCAGTATGTAGCATTTCCAAGTAAAGATGACAAAATATTGGATATAAAAGTCCCAGCAACTCCGTTCTTATGTTTTCGTTGAGTATGCTGTTCATCCATTTCTTGAATCTAAAAGGGAGGGTTTAAACTTTAACATTTTGCAAGTCTCAAAATCAACTTATGTATGCAAAAATTGACATTCACATATCGACGTCATACATTAATACAATATATGTTTATCGACCATGACTGGCAAACTTTATTCGAAATGACACTGCATCTCGACCATTAGTTGAGATCCTTTTCAAGTAAACAACGGATGTCTAATGTCGAATACCGAGAAAAAACCAGAACGAAAGGAGGCTACAAGATTAATGTCAACTTTTGTAATGAAAATCTCCATCTAAAAATTAAGATTTCACTTTAAGACATTTGTACCTTGACAACAAGGTAAAATTTCCATCGTCTTTATGTTCTAGGCTTCTGTAGAATAAGATAAAGAAAATTAAATGAATAAGCAAATTATAAAAACAGAGAAAAGATCCGAGATGGACACAATGTGTCAAATTTCCAGTTCTTTCCCGAGAACTCGAAGCTGCGTGAAAATTATGCCGACCAGAATACTTGCAATAGCACGATAAAAAATTATAATACAATATAAAAATGTTAGGATTAAAAATTGAATGTGTTGCACGACCAGAGGCTCAACCATGAATCTGTTCCTCTAGCGTGAACTTGTGAAAAATAAAAAACTTTGTTTCTTTTCCTTTGGTGTAAACTCGTGAGAAGTGAAAATTTTCATTAGCAAATATTGAATTCGTCAATTAAACTTTTCACGAATCTTTTTCTCTAGCGTCAACTCGTGAAAAATAAAAAAACTGTTTCTCTTCCTTTAGTTTGAAACTCGTGAAAAGTGAAAATTTTAATTAACAAATATTGAATTCGTCAATAAAATTTTTTACTCTTCACGAATCTTTTCTCTAGCGTGAACTCATGAAAAGTAAAAAATTTCATGAATCTTTTCGTCCAGTGTAAATTCATGAAAAGTAAAAAACTTTATTGGCGAATATTGAATTCATCAATGAAATTTTCCGCCTTTCACGAGTAGAATTGAACGTGTTGCACGACCAGGGGCTCGATCATAATTTTTTTTCCTCTAGCGTGAACTCGTAAAAAGTAAAAAATTTTCGTGAAACTTCCTTCAGCGTGAACTCGCGAAAAGTGAAAAATTTCATTGACGAGTTCAATATTCGTCAATGAAATTTTCCACTTTTCACGAGTTCACGCTAAAGAAAAAGATTGATGATCGTGCCCCTGGCAGCGAAATGACTAAAAGATCCACGCTGGGGGAAACAAATAATCACATGGCGAGGAGAGGAGTCACCGTAAAAGCGTACCGCTGATAAGCCTGATTCGCCGCGGCGGTGTCAACGGAAATGGCACTGAACACAATCGAATTCTCCTGCGAGGTCCCGCACTCCGCAGTCGCGCTTAGCGTCGTCTGATCGCCGTTCTGGCAAAACAAGTGTTCGTCCCTGCGGTAAACGCCGTCCTGGAAAAACAGCAACAGCGATGAGGGAGGTTATGTGCCCGCACACGCTCGTTCATGGAGAACCACGCGCGGCGTGAGACCTCGGTTCTCCGCGGCACTGCACCTGATAGTGACGCCGTTTCAGGTAAGAGTCGATGGTCGCGCTGATCACCTCGCTCTTCATTATCCGCTTCATCATCATCGGGGAGCCGGCGGCGCGACAACGACGAAGCTCCGAATGACGGTGCCCCGAACTACCCCCGAACCACCCCCGAACCGCCCAGAACCGGGATCCACTGACAGTTACACACGACCACAGCACGGGTACTGTGGTACGACTGCGAGCAGTGCGAGCACTGCAAGCTGCGCGAAGGCCTGCGGTCCAGTGATGCAAACTTCGGGATTTGAGCCGCGGCAGAGAGACACAAGCAGCACAAGTACCCCGTCTAGGGGAAACGAAAGGAAGGAAGAGAGAGAGGGGGTGCAGAGAGAAACCTGAGAGCGGCCACGCCGGCGTTTTATAACATCCGTAGTTAAAGGGCTGGCCAATCACAGTCATTCCATTCTTCTGAGGAATAGTTGTGATTGGCCAGTTTTATAACTACAGATGTTATTAAACCCGATTAAGCGTTCCGCGTAGCAGCACTCTATGTCTCGTTTCGAAATCGAGTTCAGAGTTCTTGCCAACTCCTTGTGAAACTTCGATACAAGTAATTAAGTTATTTCTCAACTAAAGTTTCTCAACAAACAAGAAGAATATTACGCGTAATTTGAAGTAGAAATGCGATAAGGGAATTATAAAAATTATTTTAGTTTTAATAATACACGGGCGCTACCTTTCCTAACGTTCGAACTCGGAATGAATCTCTCTCACGCTGTGCTTTAAAATCTTCATCGGTTATTAAAATTAATCCATCGCGAAAGTAATACGCGAAATATTGAATCGAGTGTTTTAATTAGCATTTATCGGTGATTTATTAATTCCACCAGTTTATATCCTTTTTACGGAATTCTTTATAAGTGAAATTACATTGACTTTAGACATTGAATTTTTAATTCTTTTCAAACATTGCATTTTGATTAAAGTTGCGTTTATAGTACGCTGTTGATGTTAATATGTATAATTTTTGTGAGATGTTCTTGTATGTACTTAACACATTGACGTATGAATATCCATACGTCAATGACTTAACATCATGCGCATTATGCGTGAAACCGAACACACCTCATATATTATACGCGTCTTCATGCAATACGAACAGACCTATGATTACACGAGATAGGCTCGCTGCGTGATCTTGTCATTGCAAGATCGATGCTTGAAAGCTCGCAGCCTGATTGGCCGCTGTTTCACGTTTGAAAGTTGCAACCGTTACGAATCTAGTGAACGTTCAGTTGTTGGACGCGGAGAAAGCGTCGGTCGGGCGCGAGAATCCGCTCCGCGTTTCCGTCGATTTCGGCTCGCCGAGAGGGCGAGCCCCGTGTCCGGGGTGTCGTGAGTGAGTGGCGCGTTCGCAAGCTCGTTTGTGGCGCTCAAGCAGCCGCCGGGAGACGCGTGCCGGGAAATCTCAG